AGGCGTAGCTGCGCTTAAGCCATAGAATTAAGCCCAGGCTTAACAAGAATTTGGGTCAAAATGAGCTCATATGATAGCGTGAAAGGGGCATGAAAATGCAACTCATTGTAGCCGCGGTGACGGGTGTGTAAAATTGACAAAATAGGTACACACAGTCGACTCCCAGTAACTCGAAACACTCCTAATTCGAACCTCCCACTTTCTCGAAGTAATCTTGGTTTCCCTTCAGATCATCGTTTCGGTACAATTTTACCCTCGATAACTCGAACCATTCATAAATGCGCGTAACAATTTGGGAAAAAAGCAATGAACTGCAGTCCAAAACATTTAACTTATTTCAAAACAACTGCGTGCTCTTTGTCTTTATTTTTTGTCAGCAGTCCAATTCAAATACAATGTTTAACCCTGGTAAATTCCTTTTTCAAAATATCAATCTATATTTCTCTGCTGCCCTTGAAGTGAAACTTGCATTCCTCCCCCATCCCCCTTTCATTATTTTTAGTTATTTGCTTCAAGCTCCCAATAACTGGAACGTTTTTCGATTTCCCTAGAAACTTCAAGTTATAAGGAGTCGACTGCATTTAAGTCTTCTTGAATCTGTCGTTAAACGCCATGTTGGTTTTTTCACTAATAGATTCGTTATAAGGATTCTTTGACTTTCATCATTTAGGAGGGTCTCAGCTTTTAAATAACATTTAGCAAAACCACCTCAATTCCTCCTTGCTTGTTTTCCTCTTCTTTCTTTGTGGAATTTTTATCGTCTTTTTTTTTGTTTATTGTTTTTATTATTATTTTGCCCAAAAAAAACACAAAATATACATATTAAATTTTAAAAAAAAGATGAGGCAAGGGAGCCCAAGGAAGCCAATAAGACCTGTGTATAGTACCACCTTTTCAAATTATGTTATGTAATTAATAATTACAATACTAGCACCGGCAAATTAACCCTAAGTATGCACAATTTATTTGGAACATAAAAAATAATCATTAAATAGGATAAAAATAGAAAAGACTGAACGTGTAAGTGCAAAAACGAGAAAGAAAAGGTGAGAAAAAATAATGTAAAAATAAACGAGAAAAAAAAAGCGGAAGAATCAAGTAGTTTAAGGCCTGGGACTAAGGGGTTTACCTGTAGAAAATGAATTATTGGCTATATAGATGATCGCACTGGATCAAAATTTAGCACACAGAGAGCTCATCGTCCTTAACATTTTAAAGTATAACTATTGTGTTCATAAGTCACGTGATGTCACCTGACCATTTTGCCAAAAATCGTAAATCATTACCCAATTGGTGACCGGTTTAATAAAAGAAATCGAGAAATAACATTTTTCGGATTCATATTAAATATTTCTAACACTAAACGTTTGGAATGACCGTCCATTGCCCTTCAATAAAAAACTATGAAGGAAAGCATCATTTTAAATACCCAAATTTAATCTTGAATCATTTAAAACTTTTATTTTAAACTTCGCGCACATTCATTCCAAACGTAGAAATTTAGGTCTGTTTATCCTCTATCAGAAATGCTAAATTGTTTATCCGAACAAAGGAAATTCGCCACCAATTCGCCAATTTTCTTCATTTTCAATTTTTAGTCACGTGACATAATTAAACGTTAAGGCACAAGAAAACCTCAAGATTTACTTTTGTGGAAAAATTCATTTTGTTGTATGTAGGTCTCCTAGCGAGAGATATTGCCAATCATTCATATTCTCAGAACACACCTAAACCCAGGCCTAAACCCCTTGAGGAAGCGAAAATTGTCCACCAAATTGAAATATCAAGTAGCCAAGTGGGTCATACAAAATAGGTAATTTCATGCCCTGGTCGATTATGTGTTCTTTCTACATAAATCGATGTTAACTTGAATGCAACCTGAAACAAGCCAATTCATCAGAAGAGTTCTTTACTTCATTTTACTTGAAAATCGGAGACTCATCCAAAAACTAGCCTCGCTCCGCAGTTCTATTTTGCCTCGAACTTATGGAGATACACTAAGCGAAACAATTGAGGGAAGACCTTACAACTGAGAAAGCCGCCACTCAGCTCATTCGGTTTTTCTCCTAGCCAGGTCACTGCCGATCCACTGCGTCTCTAAAGAGATACAAACTGTGAAAGGTTTGAACCCAGGAGTCATTTCAAAAGTAGGCTGAGTTTGATCATCCGCGTGAACGTAGTCCTGAATAGGACTTAGAACAAACGCCACTGAATCGTAGCCAACAGTTACCAGCGCCGTACAAACGACTTATTGACGAGATCAAGCAAAACTAACTACGAGAGAACGACTGGAGAACTAACAATTTTGCTAACAATAGACGACTGTTTAACTGTGACAACAGACGGATCGAAACGCACCAATTACTTATTACGAGTCTTCATAGCCAATAACATCACGGCTTAACTGACAGACGACCAATAACATCTCCACATAATTGACCAATCAGATCAAAAACCAGAGTATAATACCATCAACTGACGTGATACAACTCTCTTTGACTCTGAAGATGACTACCACACAGGTTGTCGAAACGTCAGTTACTGTCAACAACAACAGTCCTATTCAGGACTACGTTCACCCGGACGATCAAACTCAACCTACTTTTGTTAAGAGATACAGTCGTCTCCCAATAACTCGACCCTCGCTAACTCGAATCAAACTCGATTTCCCTTGGATTTCCTTCATACATTTACATTTACATATCTTGTAACATCTATAACAGACATATTCGCAAGCTCCTAACTAAAAACTAAAGCACTACTACTCTGAAACATAAAAATAAAAATACAACAAATCGAAACGGGTAAACATCACACTGAAAAATGTAGTCAAACATGGTGGCTTTAAATTTTGCAGTTGAATCCATTGTTAAATAATCAGATGGCAGGCTATTCCAGTCAATAATAGTTTTCGGCCAGAAGCTGTATTTGTACGCGTCACAGGAGGGCTGAAGTGGGATAAATTTCAGTGGATGAGATACTCTGGTTTTTAGGGAAGACTTATGATGTACTTAGCAGGGGATATCAATAGCAGCTTGGTTGGTAACACATTTGTACATCAGTGTCAGCCTCGCCAATTGTCTTCTCTTTTCGAGAGTTGGCCAATTTAGTACCTTTAGGGCGTTGGTTACGCATCCCTCCTACCTCGTGTAAGTTCTTGTTACGAAGTGTGCTGCCCTGCGCTGGACCTGTTCAAACCATGATTTCTGATATGCTCTATAAGGGTCCCAAACAGTACAACCATATTCCAACCTTGGTCTCACTAGCCATTTGTAGGCCTGATATTTAACTTTCTGTGGGCAATGATGCAAGTTCCTCCTGACAAAGCCAAGTGTCGAATTGGCTTTGTTTGCAATGTTTAGGATATGTGGCTTCCAGTTTAGGTTCTCTGACAGAGAAACTCTGAGGTAAGGATAGTGGTCTACAGCTTGTAGGGTATGGCCAAGCACAGTGTATGGGTGTATAAATTAAAGGACACTTGGTTCTGCAAACGCGTAGAACGTAACACTTCGATGGGTTGAAGGCCATTTGCCACAACTTTGCCCATTCAACTAATTTGTCCAGATCAGATTGAAGACTGATTGCATCGTTGGAATTGAGTACCAGACCATACAGCAGGGTGTCATCAGCAAATAACTTAATATTTGAGGTAATATCATTACCTATATCATTAACGAATAAGAAGCACAAGGGACCCAACACGGTTCCTTGCGGGACTCCGGATCTCACTCAAGACTTCTCACTGAACTCGCCTTCAAGGGCCACCTGTTAGGTATTTAGGTATTTTTATTTATTTGCCACACAATTACATTACTTAAAGATGCCAAAAGAAAAAAAAAAAATGTAGGAAGAGATGGCGAGGAGGCCTAAAAGAAACTATAGAGCTTATGTTAATTAGGCCTCCTCAATTACAATTTTTCGAAGATGGCATAAAAATTACGGCGACGGGTACAGTATAATATCAGGTGAAAAATTAAACTAATCAATATTACGGAAGTTTACATGCACAAATGTTGAATATTAAAAGGCTTTTTCCCAAGATTTTTGTTGAAGTATACTAATAATTATTACAAATAAATGCCTTAAGTGCTCTTTTAAAGGAGAAAGGTGAGGAAGCGTTGATGATGTTGGTGTTTAAGGTGTTGTAAAATTTAGGTCCTTGATAAAAAACGGAAAATTGCTTGGTTCGAGTACGACAGAAAGGCAGACGAAATTTACACGAGTTTCTTGTATTATACGAATGAATTTGACTTTGTAAGGTAAATTTACAATGAAATTTTAAAGGTAGAGTATGGTTTTGATAGTTCTTCCTATTAGCCATGCCTTTATCCAGGCTAAGACTAAACCACGAATGCCATAGAACTCTAATTTAAGTAACAGACGTTAGTGTGCTATTTTATCGCAGGCTTTAGAAAAGTCTAAGATCAAAAGATCAGTCTGGTTTCTATCATTTACTGACCGGGCCGGGCTAGATGCTCTGGGGTATTTATAAGTTGCGTTTTGCATGAGCGCCCAGGACGGAAACCATGTTGGGCATCCACCAGGATGTCAAAAGAGTTTAAATGTATCATAATACTGCGATAAATAATGTGTTCTAACAGCTTGCATGGCAATGACGTTCAAGAGACGGGCCTGTAATTGGCAGCCTCTGACCTTGAACCTTTCTTAAAAATTGCTACAACATTGGCATGCTTTCAGTCCGGTGGCACCTCACCAGTGTTGATGGATTGTTGGAAGACAAAACTCAGGTAAGGAGCTATCTCTGTTGCCTCTTCCTTTAAGACGCACGTAGGTAGTAAGTCAGGGCCATTTGCTTTAGATGGATTCAGTCCGCTGAGCAGTTTAATTACACCATTGTTGTCAATGTGGATATTGGGCATGCCTGGGTAGGGGCTATCGGGTAGCTGAGGTAGAACTGGATCCTCAAGTGTGAATACACTGTCATATTGTTCGTTTAGGATGTCTGCTTTCTTCTTGGGTTTGGTGAATTTCTTGCCATGTCAGAAGAGCTTGGTGATACCTGCCTTAGCATGGTCGTGAATAGGGTCAGCCTCATCAATGTCTAATAAACTGTTTACATATTGTTGGTGTGCTAGCTGTAGTTCTGTATGTACGAGCTTACGGGGATGCCTAAATCTACGCCAAACTTGTTCCTTTCCGTTGCGACGTGCAGGGTTATAACATCGCTGCTTTTTACGAATGAGACGCCCAATGTTTGCATTGCACCATGGGGGAGATCTTTTGTTTTTGAGTGTTCGCTGTGGTATGAACTCGTTAATGGAGTTATAAATATCTGCTTTAAGGTGATCCCAGTTCGCTCGAATAGACTTTGTTTCAGGACGGGATGCTTCGAATAGCTCAAACCGCTCCTTTAGTTTCCGCCGAAGGCCTTCCATGTCAGCCCGCTTGTAGAGATAAACATTCCATTTAGGGTTAGCTGGTGGATTTGCTCTGAGATTGACATTACAGATAACAGCATCATGGTCACTCATGCCCGGGACTATGTAGACTTTATCAACAAGACTGGGTGGGATGGGAAACGCAGGTCAAGAATGTTTCCTTGTCGAGTTCGGTTACCATTCGAGTAAGGTTGAAATCTTTTGAATGTCGATCATTTTCCAATTGATAGCGGCCGTATACTGTGGGTTTGACTCGACAGAGCCCTCTTCCCAGTCAATGTCAGGAAGGTTGAAGTCACCACCTAACAAGACGTACTTTCCATCAATACCACTGTGTTTTTTCATGTTATTCATAGAGAGTTCAAGCTGCTCCAGATAATCAACAGATGTAGAAGGGGGTCGGTAAAAGGATCCCACAACAACACTGCCTGATTTATGAGAGATATTGCACCAGACAATTTCGCTTTCTGCTGGAGAGGACTGCTCGACGGAGATTATGTTGCTGTTAACTGCAATTACTACACCTCCCCTTTTTTCGCCCGAGTCCTGATCTTTTCGGACTGATGGTGAATAAACATAGTTAGGAAGAAATATCTCTCTGCTGTCAATATCCTTGTTAAGGTGTGTTTCAGTACCAATAATGATATCTGGCTTGTGGGTGTCAATAAGCTGATATAGTTCAAGGTGCTTGTTATAACTCACAAGGCTGCAGAAGCTGACTATGCATACTCTCAGTATTACTCTCAGTTGCTTCGAATTGCAAGTATGAGGGAGGGATGTGCTAGGGCTTGACTGGTCGTTAAGTTCTTGTGTAAGGGTGTCTTGAATCCTACTTGTCTTCCTCGCTATGTTTCCTGTTCCCTTATTTGAAATCTTACGAGAAGGGCTGGACGCCTGCACGGGAGATCCGAGGCTAGGCGAAGCTTGGGCATCCGTGCAGTCAGTAATGGAGGAATTATGAGAACCATTGTTGTCAAGAGGCGAGGAAAAATTTCTGGTCTGTACCTCGCTGCAGGAATCAAAAAAAGAAATAGAGAAGCTCGGAAGGCCGCAGTCGCAGCAGATCCATACACAGGAGCTATTGGTGAGGGCGTCATCAACAGCATTGTTGATTTCGCAGCGACGTGCATGGTGCCAGCGATCACAATAATCGCATTGAGCGGCCCTTTGGTTAACCTTAACAGGTTTACCGCACACCGCACATGGGTGTTTATCCCTGGGCCATTGTTGAGCGAAATGTCACCGCAAAGAGACAAGAGGTTGAGGAAGAATGCACTAGATCCTTAGTCACCGTCCAAGATGGCGGTCCGCTTCGTAGATGTTCTCAGCCAGCAAGCCAGTAACTTCGGCCAAAAAAATGTTGCCCTTGCGCTGGGAAGAACATTCGAGTAATCACCATGGCATGTGAAGTTGATTTCAGGAGGACAGAACAAGTTAGCTCTGAAAACTAACGCAAGGAGGGCGAGAAAACACGACCACCGCATTTCATTGACTGTAATTTTACCCTCGATCGGTAACTTGAACCCTCGATAACTCAATCTTCCGGCTAACTCGAATATTTTTTGTTTCCTTTCAGATAATTTCTATATAATTTTGTGTCAGCCACGCTATTCTGTTTTGAAGCATTTTGTTGGTTACTTATTTTTAGTTTATTTCATGTTTGCACTTGACGTTTGACTCGTGTTTAGTGTTTTGTTATGATCAGTTTGTAGCCGAGTCCAGGTTAATCGGTATTTGTAGTATCGACAGGTTTTCAAATTCTATTACCTTTTTAAGTAGTTTTTCGACATAAAGTTCATTTGTTAATTTTGAGCGTCAGTCCTTGAAGTGCGCACGTTTTGGGATGATCGCTGACCTTGATTGTTACCTACATCAGACTGTGATCAGAGTTCCCGTTTTGGTTTAAGATAGAGCCTCGTGGGTTAAGCTTGTACTTGACATTATTAACCTTATAGGTTTGTTTTTCCACTTTGGTTATCAACAAGAAATTCGGAAAAGTGTTTGGAATTCTCATGGTCAGCAAGCCCAAAGGTACCTACCTTCAAGTTATATAAGTTGCCAACATTTGGTGCCGATGGGTGGTTAATTGGTGTACAGTTTATGGTTGAGTTCATAGTTATTAGAGGAGACTTGTTAGGAAAGCCGGCAAACAGAAAAGTTGAAAACAACGGTGCTGTAGTTTTTGTTGGAAGCTCCCTGACCGTGCACAATCCTTTGGTTTTTGTTCACAATTTGGTCAGCAAGTTCAAAATGATAGAAATGTTATTGAACGTTGTGCACGTTCAGGTCCAAAAATGTCATATTACCCCTGAAGTATAATGTGCATGAGACTTGCCCTGATCACATTTCCATTTCATCAAACGGTTTTTTCCTCGATTAACTCAAACGTCTTTTAGGTTCGAGTTATCGTAGCCTGAGAATACAGCTGTTTCTCCTAGCTCCTCGCTGCCAGGGACGTTTTGCCCGGAGGAACGTCTGCGACTCAGCGAGAGAAATTCCACACTGATGACGTAAATCAATGTTTACATAATAAATACGGTAGTCTTGGGGTTCGAAATCTAAGTTTGCTTGATTTTATGTTTCTAATGGTCGATTATAGTAAAGTTTTGTGATCTTTTGAGCAGGAGCTCCAGCAAACTCTGTCTCAGATGGTTTTTCCAAAAAAGGATATATTTGACTGTTTTGTAGTAGATTCATCACATTTACCTTTGACCTTTGAGGCCTTATATCTTTATACCCCCCCCCCCCCAAAAAAAAAAAAAAAAAACTTTTCCAACTCGGGCTTAAAAGGGAAAAAACGACTGGCTACGCTCCTGTTAAAGTTGTTAGAGCTTTCCACGACTTTTTACATGTCTCATGAAACATTTTACACATTATAGACCACGAGTAGTCCCCCATTTGTCCTCAGGGATAGTAGAGCGAGCGAAACGCAAGCGCGCGTGAAAATTACCCCACACGCCTTTTCTTGCGTGGGGTAATTTTCACGCACGCTCGCGTTTCGCTCGCTCTACTATCCCTGAGGACAAATGGGAGACTACTCGTAGTCTAACACCAGGAGGGAGGAGGCGTCTCTATTGTTTTCGGGTACTTGTCTGTGACCGAGTCATCATGACAGTGTGACGTCACATAGCAACGACTCAGAGCTTCGCGCCGCTTGATCAGTTTAGCGTGGAGAAGCCATCGAAGTTAAACAAAGAAAGGGCTAATACAGGCTTTTGTTCAGCGTTGGTAAAACAATCTGTCGTAAGTGTGCAAGCTTTGTGGCTTATATTGTTTATGTGTAAAAGCTGTGTTTGTTTTGTCCGCACGTTTTTGTTAAATTCGACTCCAATCCACTTCGGGTCAGTGGCGTGGGCGCCATTTTGAACTCGGAACTAGATAAATCCACCCTAAACGTCAGCCGTTTTCTCTTTAAATTGCCAACCAAATCTCCTCAGAAGAGGAGGTTTAATTCATTAATAACAGAAGTTTGATACGATAGTTGATTTGTTGTGATGTAACGAGCCATTTTGCTCATCAATCCTTTTGAATGTGAAGATACTGTGTTGAATCGCGTGTGGTTTCTTGGCTTCTTGACTGTCTGGGGTAAATTTTGCAGACTTTAACGCTGTCATTGTGTGTTAAGTTTGCTTGTTTGTTTACTGCTTATGTCTAAGGTTTGCTGGTTAATCTGGTGCCCCTCTATTTTGATCAAAGTAATTGCTGGCCTTTACTGCTTTGAAAATTTACTGCTGTTGGTTGTTTTATTCTGTTTTGTTATTGTTGGTAAAATGTTTCTATTTGCATTTGTCTGCAGTTTTTTGTTGGCTTTTTCCCCGTATTTTACTTGTCTGTTATTATTGTTGTTGCTTGTTAGCAGTGTTGTTGGCTTCTTTATTTGCCCTTTAAAAAGACTATTCTTTTAATTAATTTAGTGTGACTATTTCTTGAGAAAAAAACAATAATAATAATATTAAAGACATATAAAAGAGAGAGAAAAAAATAGTTTTAATAAAAAGTACATAGCTTAATTTAAGAAGTTATATTATTTTAAAAAGGAAAAATTACTTAGTGAGAAAATTAATAAAGTAAGATCATATTTATATAATATATATCTATAATTATTTACTTTAGAAGAAGAAAACATCATGATGAATAAAAGTATTTTATTGTGTATATATTTGACAATGGGCTTCTTGTTGTATGATTTATATTTTGACATTGCTTGGCTTTTTTGTCCTCTGTCCTCACAATCATAAGATTGTGTATCTTGTGATAGCTGTTGTGCGTGCCCATATTGTTTTTGCAATGGTTGCAATATCTTTCCCAGGCCTTTCAAACCTTCATGTGCCCTCTGCATCCCTTCAAAGCCCCCATCTTTTTTGGAGACACAAATCCCTTACTCCTTTGAGTCATAAAGTAAAACTTTGCGTGTAGTAAAAATGTTGGTCTCCTCTGTTTTGTCCTTTTTTATTATCCACTTCAAAGTGACGGTAATTCAAAACTTCAACCTCTCAAACTTCCTTGTTTCCCTTTTAGCCTTAACCACCATTCTTTTTACACTGACGTTTTTGTTTTACAGGAAAGTATTGTGTATGGTTTCTTTAAGGCAAATGATTAAGTATAGATCAACTTTAAATTGTTTGTTAGAAATGCTTCTACTCCCTGCTGTTATTACCTTGAAATTATTTCTATCTTTGCTTGATCCAGTTTACAAAATTTTGTTTCATGTAAAATGTTGTGAATGATATGCTCTTTATTCACTGCCCCAATTCAACTTTTCACTGGTACAATATTTGTGGAGATTAAAATCACAGTCATTGGATAAGGGTGAGAATGTTTCCCTCGTTTTATTGGATTTTTTCTCCTGTCTAATGACCGTGTGCCTTTTTGTTTCTCATGGCTTTTTACTGAACCTTGGTATTACAAAAAACCTTGTTCTTTAAACTGTGAACTTCAATATCCTGTTTATCCATTGTAAATATATTAGGATATGCAACTGCTGCTTTTTTGCTGATAATTTCTGCACTCCCATTATCATTCTTTGTGGGTTTATATGTTGTGACTATTATTATATTTGGGGAGACCTTTGATACCAGTTCCAGATCCTGTAC